CAAAAAGCGGCGTGCCTGCCAGCCGGCGCTGACCTCCTGCAGGCAAGGGAGGGCAGCACAGCCGGAGGAGCCATGGGGAGAGGATGGCATGACTGGAGGAGTGAGGGGGGGCGCAGCAGGGCGGCCCGCAGCGTGGCCAGCAGCCAATAGGGGGGCGCGGGCGCAGCCGGAGGAGGCAAAGCGAGGGCGGGGCGCAGCATGGCGGCCGGCAGCGGCGGCTGGAGGAGCAAGGGGGCGCGCAGCAGGGCGGCCTGCAGCCAATGGGCTGGGGCAGCGGGTACGGCTGGAGGAGGCAGAGCGAGGGGGGGGCACAGCAAGGCGGCCTGCACAGCGTGGCCGGCAGCCCCTGGCCGGAGGAGCAAGGGAGGGCGCATCATGATGGCCGGCAACCAATGGGGGCGCGGAGTGGCCGGAGGAGGAGCCAAGGGGTGTGTGGCCAGAGGAGGAGCCAAGGTGGGGGCGCCTTTTTTATGTTTGCTCCCCCTGCTCTTAGATCGTGGCTACACCACTGGTTGCAGGCCCCCATCAGCAAGCTCCAATGGGCTGCTCTTCCTGCAAGCAGTGGACAAAGCAGGCGGCTGCCAAACAATGTTATAAGGGAGCATTGCACAACTTTAAACGAGCCTGTCCCCTAATTGATCAGCAACGTAACAATGTTAACCGGGACAACTTTAAGTGAGGAGTTCGTGTAGTTCTCAAGTCATCTCTCTCTTCACAAATTCATCAGGTTCACTACAGATCCAGTTCCTCTTTATGTAGCACCCCGAACTGCTGATGGTGTTTTTGTACATATAGACACATTCTCCTCCTTCTCCTATTTGAAACCTGCAAAAAAGTAAGAGCAATGAAGCTACAATCAGTCAGGGATCAGGCCGTTCCTTCTCATCTCAGAGGACTCTGGAGAGGATGAAATTGACCCCTGTGTAGGAGGCCATTACAAGTAGAGTGTGAATAATGGATTTTTCAGTTCACTGGCGATTCTAAAAAAACGACGAAAAAAATCGTTCCAAGTTGACCTAGAAAACGACATTTTCAAAAATTTTGGAGAATCAAAAAGTCGAAAAAGTTAGTTTGGG